ATTAACACAGGGAGAGGTGACTTACTGTTACTTGGGGAGCTGCCGCGCCGCCTCAATACCCAGCTCAACATCTGAAGGTTCCAAAGTTGAATTGAATTCGATATGGTGGACTTGAGGTTCACGCCTCAACTCAATTTGCAACAGGTTAATTGCCCAAGTTTTCATCCCTCATGCCTGCCACAGACAGTAAAAAGGTAAGACAGTACCCCCTTGGTTTTCTCCTGAAAGCGCACATTTCCCCTACCCCAACTTATTTCTGCTGTGCAAAGCCTAACTGAAACTTCAACAGGGTCAGTCTCCTGGTATAATACTGGTGCCCATACGACCCGTAACGATCCCAGACACCTTTTTCTATTAGAACCCAGCATACAACTGTTTCAAGCATCTTTACGGCTACAGTACTCCATCTGTTTGATCGCGCACCACAGGGCCAGCCCCATTCTCCCCACTCCCCAGGTGCATCAATCTAGCCTTGCCCCCATCCACCCTGTCTCTGTCTCTCTTTTCTCTCCTTGGCAGCCACTCTTTGATACGGTACCGGACACCCACAAGAGGCTGCCAGGTTTGGCTTTGTCACAAGTCCTCAGCATCCTCACGGCTGCCATTCTCCTTACATGCTTCCTAACATCAACCTCTTGGGACAAAACTGTTGTACCTGCAATAACCGTGAAACATACTAATCCCACCCACCTGCACAGGCACAGCCATGAACCCCTACGACAGATCAATCAGTGTTTATTCATCTTCACCTGTCAGTGCGTGCTCAGAATGTTATGGCTGATCTGTGTATTTTCACATAATTATAGCCTATTATCATTACAATGTTTATGTATGTATGTTTATTGTTTACTAAGTCACAATATTACTCAATAATATCTTACTGGAATCAAATTGAAAATGTCAGTAAAATAAATCTTATTCCTGACATCAAACACACAGACATCAGTCAGTATCAGTCCTTCCTCCTGTCCTCTCAGATTCGTGGCAAACTTAAATAAACAGAATACATACATAAGCCCTGCTTTCTGTCCTGTAGAGGAGAGAGACATACTGTAGAAGTGTGACCATATGACAGCAAAACGTGGTTAGGCGCTCTGCATATAACATTATGATTATTATGATTAATGATCATTAGACTGTTTTGGTGGTGCCTTACGCACAGTCCATGATGCACGTGTACATAGCAGCAGTGCTGATGAACAATTCCCCTCAAATGTATTCAAACTAAAGTAACAAGCCTGTTTTTGTTTTTGAAATATTTATTCAAAATGTAGGCAATGAAAGTAAAAAGTTGTCAAGAAAATAAATGCTCAAGTACAGATCTGGAAAACCTACTTAAGTACTCCTCTGATACTGCAAGTCTTTGTCAACGCAGCGTTACAGTTCCATACATCCCGATTCCATTGCGCCTTTTAGTTCAATATTCTACAAAAATAGCAAACAGTACACGTCACCACATAGCTACTGATACATCGGGGCTACTGAAGTATGGTTTTACTCCAGTCCACAGTTCAAAAAAGAATCGGCAACTAAACTTAAGGAGTGAATGGAGGCAGGGCTGTAAGTGGCTAGAATAGGACAAATCTGAGGATGTAAATTACTGCAGTATGTGCCACCATTTTCTTTCAACTAGCCTCAACTTGTTTTCACTTAAGTTAACATTTGGGCCACCAGAAATGGACATATAAATATGTACTTGCATATGTTGTATGATACGATTATAATGGAGACAAGAGAAATAAGAGACCGTAGCAAAGTAGTTGCTGTCTTTTCCATATTGTCATATCTTTTAGCAATGTGCAACCCCCTTCTGCTTTTTAAAGTAGCAGTGATGGATAATGCTGGTTTTGGTTGCAGGCCAGTCCCTCATTATCAAAGCTGTAGCTGTGGAGCATTACTGTCAGATCACAGATGTTATATAGATATTGAATGCATGCACAAAGTCAGTCTTGAGCAGATCGCAGAAGAAGCAGGTCGGGCATAAATCACACTTACCCTAATTGATGGTCACCCACTCCAAGGTGGGCAGCAAGACTAATACATTATGGATGGAGGGGAAGTCTAATCTCTGTGGGAAAGAGGCCTGATAGGGATTTGGTTTTCTATAACATTATAGAAGCCAGACACATTTCCTGTCACTGCTCTGAGACTTAAGCATACTTAATGCACCAGCATTATTAAGGGACCGCTTAAAGCATTTTAGGTGTTTCTAATGGAGGCTGCTGTTTTAGTAAAAGCATGAATGTAGTCAAACCCTCAATAACGTTACCATATCATCTCTTATCATTAGTGATCGACCAACAAGAGCCTTCATTTACCTACCTAAACATAAACTACAAAATAACAACATACTATAGGTATACTAACTTAATGTATTGGTATAATAATTCTAATGTATCTGTATCCTTAGTACTTTTGAAACAAAAGAAAAATAAAGTTTAAAGATTTAATGATTATGTTTTTTGATTCTAAAAGACATTTTTCGCTCTGCTTGCCACTGGTAGAAGTGTGTGTGTGTGTGCGCTGGGTCCCAGCTGGTCCCTATGAGCATCCCCCGGGAAAGTTGTGTCCTTGAGTGCCAGGGCATGGATGTTTTGGTCGTCACCTCGGGGGAATTCAACTGAGCTGCTCACTGATTCTGATTTTTACACACTTGCTCGCCCACATGCACACACTGACTCACAGTCCAACCCACTCTGTCTCTCTATCACACATCACAAGACACACATATACATAAAATTGTATAATATTCACAACATTGCCTGCAGTCTAAAACTCACACACAAACACATGGGTCACAACTGCAAGTAAACACCATCTACTGCCAGCAGACACACACAGTTAACTCTGTCATCAAATGTATGTGCCAAAAAAAAATCTTGTTTGCTCTGA